TATATATATATATATATATATATAATTATTGATAAATTGATTATTGAGCGTTTCATTTATAAACACGAGACAAAGTATCGATCTAGAACAATTAGCGTTTAGATAGGTTTCGTACTTCGTATTTAATGACATTATTGAATCATTATATATCAAGTATTGTATGTACTGGAGCTGGACGACAATGAAAAATAAACTATTATATCCAAAAGATGCGGTTTGTGTTACAATTTGTATTTGATAACTCACCGATACACGTCATTCTACTATTTAGCCGCGCTATCCGCCGCGCACGTTCACAGCATGAGTTTGATCCCCACATTTTCGTAGATAATATATTCACATATTATATCCATCGTCTCGTTTGCAGTGTTAAAATAAGCGAAATGGGTAAATGTTCACAATAGGTAAGGCAGCTCCGATTGACATGACCTTGACATATGTTGTCAAGAACACATTCCTTAGTAATATGCAAAAAGTCGCAGCCGTCGCTCATTGTTTATTCAAAAGTTATAAACAAACGAAGTTTCATAATTATAATAACTGCCGAATAGGAGACCCACTTCTAGTGATCTTGACCTTGACATATATGGTAGAGATCATCCTCCTGAGTAACCTCCCGAAGGTTTTACCCATCGGCGCTACGCTCACTGTTCATTAAAAAAATATTAATAATAAAACGAAAATATGTTAGACGCATTCACTCATATCAACCGGTGCTTAAAGTCATTCTGACTGACCGCTAATTAGAAATTCTGTTTATAAACAGGCAGGCTCCGATAGCCCGTAGTAGTAGGTGATTGGCTAATTTATTATAAAATTTTCTAATTGGTGATCAAACAAAAAAACTTTAAGCACCGATCGATGTGAGTGGATGCGTATAATGTATTTCTGTTTTGTTAATATCCTTTTAATGAATGAGCGACGGATAAAACCTTGTGGAGGTGATTCTCCTATTCGACAGTTTTACACCGATGGTAAACATTTTTTAATATATACATCTTGAAGTTTGATTATGTCTATTTATAATAAATTATTAAAAAAATATATTAATGTATATAACTAAACCAAGTGAACGTAAAGCGAACGTTCCTCGAACGTTTACGTGCTGCTTGGGACCTTGCTTTTTTTCAATAGGAAATATTAAATAACAATAACATTATATTAAAAAATATAATCATATACTTACATGTATAATTTCCAATTCTACAATATAAATACAATGTAATATACGTATATATATATATATATATATATATATATAACAGCCACATATGCAGGCACATTATCGGTGGTAAATTATAATTTATAAGTTAAACGTAGATCGACATTGATTACAATGCGATCGCAGCGGTAAACCTATATCACGGGAATTAACACGTAATCATGTATTTTCCTCGATGCCGCGTAGGTAGCACATATGCGCCGTAGCATGGGTTGTGCGCACGAGCAGAAGCAGAGAATCAGTGAAAGCGCTCGCAGCCTACTTCACCACTAGTCGACGGTAAGCCATTATGGCGATCGGATAGGAGTTGTGTCGGTGTCCGTTATCTTAAAAATTCACTGTGATGCTACACGTTTTCGCATGGTAAATCAACTCGGAGCTTTCAGCGGACGGGAGAACGTCGATCTTTCACGCAACGACGACTGAACGCGAATGACACGATGGTGAAGCTGACCGAGGAGATGATTGTGGCACGCACACGAATGTCCGACTTCTCCGCCGTAATGAAACTCAATTGCTGGTGAGTATTTACATCGGTGTTGGGCACCTCCGACGGCGAAACATCACTCGCAGATAGATTTCCTTTGATCTTTGATCCGCGATCAACGCATTACTCGTGTTCACTATGTGAAAATCGCGCACATTGCAAGGTTATGATATCTTTGTACACTGCGGTGGGAAAAAAGGAAATGTCATTATGATCAGCCAAGTGTGACTAACCGCTATGCCCGTGATATGACATACAAAGGAACACGCGTAAAGTATTCGGTGAATTATGTAGAAAACCGTCTTTTCAGTTGTATAAAAAAAAGAAATATGATACTTCTGTTGAACTCTGTTGATGTATCTCTCTTTCCTATAGGGGAACAGAATTGACAGATGTCAGCATCCTAAGGAAAATGAAAAATGTGGAAGTGTTGTCGTTGAGGTAAGTCGAGAGTCATCAAAATTAATTGCACAAACAGTTGTCAAAATAGAAAAGATACTGTAACAAATCTGTTATATAATTTTGATTTACTATATAATATATCAATATAAATAAAACACAGCTAATTAAACATTAACTGCAGACTATAATTCCTGTAGTTTTAACTATAAGTATTATACTAAAATGAAATCATTCTGTCAACCGTACCAATGATCTAAGATATTTTTCATCTTATGAAAACACAGAGGTTGCAATGTGTTCCTATTTTGGACATGCTCGTATTAAACTCATGGTCACAACCTACAACTTCAGAAGTTGTTCTACCTACACATGCTTTGAATTCATTGTGATTCTTCTGAATAATACTGAAACATGCAAATAACAGATCTGAAGTATATTTCTGAAAAATTGAGAGTTATTATTTCTTGTATTTTCAATATAACAATAAATATACACCATTACCTGGTACAGTATCAAATTAACCTTTTTTTTTTTGAAAGAACAAAGGAGAAAATAAAAGTATACATAACTCATACTTTTCTACATAAAGATATAGCTCTGACAATATATATGTTATGTAGAAACTATGTTTGTTAATATAACTTTCTCTTTCAATGTCAGATTGTAAACCCAACATAATATCATAATTTCAATACTCATACCAAAATACTTCCCAAATTTTTCTATATTTATACATGTTTATATATTTTTAATAGTTTCTCATAGATATATTATGTATAAAGCGGGTTGTTTTAGTAATAAGATACTTTCATATAATATTAAAAAATAAAATATACATGTGTTAATACAATAATATGGTTTTTTCTATTTATACATTAACTCCAAATTTGTTTGACTCATATACTTATAATGCATATACATATATATGAAATAAAAAAGTAAAATTAGGTTGACAAAAATATTATGCATTTCCTTGCATCAAGTTGCGTAAATTATTATATATATAAATTGACACACACACACACACTAATTAGAATTACTAATATTAATATTTTTTTACTTTTTAATAAAAAATTATTAAACTAAAACAGTTTAACGAATAAATCTTTGTGAGGAAAAAGGAATAATAATGTTTATATTTATTTTTGCAGTATAAATAATATTAATACACTTGCTGATTTTCAATATTGCCACAAGCTTCAGGATTTATTTGTAAGAAGAAACAATATTAAAGATTTGAATGAGATCTGCTATCTTCAAGGATTGCCTAAATTACGAAATTTGTGGCTTGGTGAGAATCCATGCGCGGAGAAAGAAGGGTAAATATTTAATGTGACAAATAAGAAATATGCATTGACAAAATAGAAAATTTTATAATCTGTTGTTTTTGTAGATATCGATTAGCAGTACTTCGAGCTTTGCCAAATCTCGAAAAATTAGATGATAAAGAAGTGTCACCTGAAGAGGTGCAAACTGCAATGACGATAGGACGACCTTTGGTGCATCCTCTTGAAATGGATACTTCCCCACAATCAGACGCAGTAAGCCCACACCTAGAATAATATAGATTAAAATAACATAAAATAACGAAAGATAAATGGATGGAGGATCAGTGTCAGAATACTATTTGTCATTGTCTAGACAACCATGTTCATATGCTATTTTCATAAAGCAAAAATGGGTTTATTTATATATTATTATCCTTGTGTGCACGCTTTACGCAATATATTAAAATTAATAGTCATTTAACTATTATTAAATTTTACTTACATATTTATAGCGAATTATATATGGAGTTAAAAAAGCTTTTTTACACAAACGTATTTTTAACAATTATTAAAATACTAAATGACCTTTACTAAATTAGGAAATACCAATTGAATATATTGAGGAAACTGAATTGGAACAGCCTAGGAGATACAGTTCTTGTAGCGATCAGGTAATATCATAGCTTACTGCATTCTTTATTTTTTTTTTGTTCATTTTATTTGTGTGACTAAAACGCATTGTTTATACTAAAATGGTGACTTACGAGATACTTATACCATGCGATAATTAAAGTAGAATAATATATGTATAGAGAAATATTCTTTCAGAGAAGTTTTGATGAGACACAACATTCGCATGAAGAATATGACCCTGATAGAAGAAACGCAAATTATAGTGCGTCATCATCCCATCATTACTCACAAAATAATCAGTATGCATATGAGGTTAGTCGTGCGTATCATTATACAATATAGGGCTGAAAATAACTCTTAATAATTATTTTGAAATTTAAATTATATCATCTATTATTAACAAAATGTAACTGGTCATATGTGGTATATTTTTCATGAATCTTTTTATTATTATAATTTTATTTTTTAACGCTATGTTTCTAACGACAAACAAATTTTTATTCTTTAAAGAAAAAGATGTAATTAATCTACTAATTTTTCTGTACTGATTCGCAAAAATTACGTTGAAAATCAGTTCTAAAACGCGAATAATAACTTAGAAGTCTGATTTCCAAAAATCTTATTCCTATTTCAAATTTTAAACTTTAAACTTCAGTCTTATCACTTAATTACACTAACAGCTACAGAATGGGCAGTCAAAGAAACAGAGCAAAGATGACACTGTGCGTACAGAGTCACGCAGCAACAATGAGACTGCGACCACTAACACTCTTGAAATATCCAAGGTACAGTGCGTCACATATGTAATATGCTAGGTAGTAATTTGTTTTTAAGCATTCCGGTTCTCATCACTCGTGTTATCCGAATTATATAAATGGTATAGAAGATATTTTCTTAAAATATATTGTTGCTCATCATTTGTTCGTAATCATGATTAATAGTTTATTCTTTATAGCTGAACTGGTTGCACTAGTTCAAGAAGTTTACGTATACATTGAAACGTATAAAACATACGTACAAGATTCTTATGTTTTAGTGTGTATAAATTTCTCGAATTAGTGCATCCAATTCAGCTATAAAGAATAGATCATAAGTGAAACTTCTAATTTCACACTTTGCTGGAATATTATATCATTTATGATTATATATACGCTGCTTTATATAATTCAGGGGATATTCAAGAATAATTAATTTCTTGCTTCTTTTTTTATTGTTGTCATTTAATATGACTGTATATCATGATTATTAGTTTGTTCCAGTTGTAAATTATATATCATAACGAGAATATGAAATTTTTCTCGTCTAAATGCAATTTGTGTACATATTTTATACTCATTTTATGGAATATGTTTCAGGATTATGATGACCGTCCGGTGGTATCGCGACATAACGGAGATTACGATGAAAGGCGAGGTTATTCTGACTACGGCGGGAACGAAACGTCTCAGCGTGTTTATACGTCAACACCACAGCACCGTACACCATTCGCTGTCAATGAACCCGTGGATGATAGACGTAACGAAAGGAACAACTACGATTACGATGAAAGAATAAAGTTGGAGTATGAGGATTCGCAATCTCAGGTACCACCACAAACAAGAAGAGTGGCAGTTCATCATAATGTCGAAAGGGTAAGATATATATTCGGAATAATGATATGATATATAAATATTATTTCTTTGTCAAATCACAAGCCCAATGCAGTTCACAGGGTTTACTTATTTACATCGATCGTTTGATATGCATGTCAAACAGTAATTCTATAAAATTATCTTAATTTCGCGACGGTGCATATAAACGACATATATATGTAAACGGCATACTAAGTTGGTACAATATGCATTAACTAACAGTGCATAATAGAAAATTCAATAATCTTTACCATATCGTTTCCGAAATATTTAATTATAAGCTTACATTGTGCAAGCATGTATAGAATCCTCATAATATAAATTTCTTCTAATTTGATATATTTGTATATTTAAGATAGAAGTTTAAAAAACTGTTGTAATAATAAAATGAACATTTAAAGTATATTATAGTTGAGTATTACATAAATTTATCATTTAGTTAAAGAGAAATTTAGATCTTTTGATATGAATATGAGTGAATACATGATAACATTACATATATGGAAAAGTGCTAGATCTGAAATAATGTCATTTCTAACACTTATTTCTATATTTATTATTCATTTTAACATCATATTTATGCATTTATAATTCAAATTAAACTAATCATATATTAAATATAATAACGTATACATTTCATATTCATGTTTTTCTTTTTTTTTTTTCATATTATCGATACATCAAATAAGAATTTTATAACTTTGATTTTGTAATTTTTTAAATATCTGATAACTTTTGAAATAAAAATGTGATTACATATTATGATATTTTAATTCTTATTGATGTTGTTTCAAAATTTATTTTTTTAATTATTTAATCATTTTAACAATTTTATTAATAAAATATTCATTGACTAGAGAATAGCGTTTGAACCTTCTTAAAAAGACGTGCAGTCAGTGTGATATATATTGTATTATTCTCTAGATCGAAAATTACACGATTTTTAACCACACACAGACACACACACAAAAGAAGATAGGAGGGGGGGGGGGGTAGCCCTGAATTCGGAAAATATATTTTATAGAAAAATGTTTCAGACAAAAGTTGTATAAAAAGATCCATTTATTGATATTATCAGTTTGGCTACCCTGGGTGGCGTCGCCAAGATCACCTTGAAGTTTTTAAATAGAACCCCCTAGATTTTATTGCATATTATTGTAGCTTTCTTGAGACTTTTTCAAAACACTATAAGAAAGTATTTTTTCATTAAGTATTTTTCGAGTTAAGGCTTGAAAGTTACAATACCGTCGGCATTAGCATTACCCAAAATATACCACGCGGAGGTTGCCCAGTCGCACATCTCTTATATGTATATATTAGGGAGTTGCATTAATTCATGCTGTTTTTTACTTGGAATATTTATTATTTTCATAATATGTTACAATCGGACATCAATCAAAGTAATTGCCATCGTTTTCAACTACTTTTTGCCATTTTTCTGATAACAGCTGGATCCCTCGTGGAAAGAAGGATCTGTCTTTTAAGGCGATTCAATCATCGACCTATTTTCGGAGTTTGTCGAGGTTGGCGAAGTGCATGCCTTTCAGGGCGTGTTGCATGGAGCGGAGCAGGTGAAAATCGGAAGGTGCAAGATCAGGGGAATATACTGGGTGCGGAAGAACTTCCCCTTCCAGGTCTATTAGTGTTTTTTTAACCGTTCTTGTCACGTGCGGTCTACCGTTGTCATGTTAAGGGATCATTTTCCGCCTATTACTGGCTAGTGGCTGCTTCGAAACGGTTGGTTTATCAACTTCGAGGGCTACTGACAATTTCTTGAGCGTTTGTACCGGATTTTCATCCAATAATTCTTGCAGTTCCTCGTCGTCAAATTTTTTCAGTTTTGTCTTGAACTATAATATCACCTTCTTTGAAACGTTGCGTCTATTTTTAATACGTTCTTTCCGAAGAAGCAGCTTCGCCATAAGTGTCCAGAAGCAATTGATAAGCTTCAGCTGCACTTTTTTTCAAGTCAAAGTAATGAAGAAGCTCATGTCGGGAAAGCTCATTATCGCGTTCCATATTCACTTCGCTCTTTATCTGTACACAGAAATGACCTTTGTTGACTGGGTGTTATTTACAAATGACGACACGTATAACTACTAACTACCATTAAAACCCATTGAATTAAATTACATACTGGAATGAGCACTGCTTTTGTTTCTGGCTGGTGACCTCGTACCGAGAGAGAAAGTATCTAAGTAGTATTTCCGTCTTTGTCTGTTTATGTCCATCTTTGTCTTATCTTAGCCTATGTAGACTATATAGCATATTAATAAGACAGAGAACGAGATACTATTTAGACGTGGCCTTTGTCGCGCAACCTCTTTAGCCACGGCCCTCACTACGCCACTGCTCATTCCAGTATGTTCTTTAGTTCAATGCTAAAACCTAAGGACAGCGGCATGCCTCAATTTCAAGCCTTATCGAAATCGAAAAATATTTAATGAAAAAATACATTCTTATAGTGTTTTGAAAAATTCTCAACGTAACTATGAGAATATGTAATAAAATCTGGGGAGTTCCATTAGAAAAATTCAAGGTGACCTTGTTCTGACCTTGGCGATGCCACTCCCTTCCCTCCCCCCCCCAAAAAAAAATATATATATATATATATATATAGTTAAAACCATTATCTTCTCCTTCTTTTAGTGCCATACCTATGTTCAGGCGTAGGCAACTTCTCTCATATGTCTGTGGTGCGCACATTGATTATGCACAAGCATATGAGACCTACAGTTTAACGCCAGTTCCGAATGGCAATGTTTTTAGAGAGATTATATTAGGCAAGGATTATTCTCGATGGTTTGCCTATTGACTTCTGAGAGGAGATGCGAGCATAAATATTTTGGCTTCTGCTGAGGATCGAACCCGGGGTCACTGGCATAGTAGACCAACCAAACCATTATAAATCAGACTCAATATAACCTTATTGTTATAATTATAGTTATTTATACAATTTTCAACCTTATGTGTTACATGTAAGGATGAAAATCGTGTAATTTTTCCTCTGGGAGATGTATATGTGGCGCCGACTGTACTGTGCCAATTTAATATACTATTGTTCACTTACATCTTGTAACTTATAATAATGATAAAAATATTTTAAAATTATCAGTTGGTGCGCGCATTAAACGATCGGTGTAAAAGTTGCTAACTGAATCAAGTGGAAGATTAAAATATCTGCAAAGGATATAGTGCCTAATGAAACTAATGTATTTTAATGTCTGCAGGAAGATACCAGTCAAATGCCTGGTTGGGTAAGACATACTGACAAAGACAAGTGCAGATCTCAATTTCACTATCACAGACGACCAGTAACAAGGGTGTGTTTGTCGTTATCTTAGAACGCATACGATTATTAAATCTGGTATATTCGGTATCACGTATTAATAGCATGTGGTTTTTTCCCCCGTTTAGAATTCCAACATATTGTCCGCTGTATTGTGCCTCGTCAAAGAGTTAGATTACCCTAGTTTAGAAGTGGTCGAAATGGCCGTTAGAAATCGAATGGATGAACTGGAGGAATGATGTTTCTGACACCGTCCCCAAAATCCCCAGGGGATGGTCACGTTCTCTCATACCGGCACCATGTCTTCTGTTTCCAGTCCGGAATTTTCCGACTCGCTCGATTCAACGATAACTCTTAACCGGTACATTGACAACGATGGAAATCATAACAATCACGAAAACCACGTAATCGATCGTCAGTTATTTGATGAGAATAACGAGATATGTCAAATTCGACGCAATGGATGTGCCGAAAAAGTTTGCTCAACACACAATCCGAAAACCGTCTCGATTGACCCGAGCCCGAAATTGCTCAGAAACAATCAATCCGTGTATAAAATTAAAGACTCTGTATTAGACAATTTGCCACCAGGAAATTATGAAGAGAGGAAGAGCAACGATGTAAGACGCGTGGCAAGCAGTGATAGCATTCCTCGTGGTGGCTACAATGGTGTTATTTTGAGCCAGGGATGCAGAGTTCTAAGCCAAGACTGCGTAAGAAGATCAAAAAGCCTGGATGTTAGGAATACAATTACGCCACATCGTTATATTCAATCGGCAAAAGGAACGTGGACGTATAACTTGTAAGTTAGATTGAAAATTGGATCAATTGCTTTCCTGAAATAATGACCTAAATCTTTGTAAATGCGACTTTCCTTCTCTCTCTCTCTCTCTCTCTCTCTCTCTCTCTCTCTTTCTCTCTCTCTCTCAACGAATTCTTCGACGAGAAGAAATGAAATAAATTTAAATGAAAAGTAGATCAGTAATCGATACGAATTTTTTGCCTTTTTAAGATGGAAGATTAGTCTTGCGTCATGTTATTTCAGGAGAGAAGTATATATATAAAATTTATCAATAATTGTGATATTCTTGCCAGAATTAAAGATACAAATTTAATTATCTTAATATATTTATGTATATGTATGTGTACATTTGGCAGAACGTGTTGAGATCATCATTTCTGTTTCTGAGAAATATGTCAAAGTCAAAATTAGTGGATTCTTGATTACACAAACATACAGAAATTTAATACTTGATATATGAATAATTTCCCTTATCAGGCTTAAGTTTCTCAGAATTTTATTACCTACGTAATTTGTCCCGTTATTCATTATATTTTACAACTGAAAGATATCCAACAGAGATGAGACTTTTCAGATATATATACAAATTGTTAAATATACATGTTATAAATACCTCTACCTTATGTATTAGCTAAATCGGAAAGTTCCATCCGTTTTTTTTTGCAAAAAGAATGATTTTATTTAAGAAACAAAATGAAAAAGTACATTAATCAAAATACTGTCCATCGTTAGGGATGACTTTTTTCCATTTTTCGGGCAGCAAGCGAATTCCGCAGCGAAAGAATGACTTATCTTTGGAGGCTATCGGAGGCCTATTTTACGACGTTTTCATAAGAATTGAAGCGTTTCTCAGCAAGTGCGTATGCCATCGACCGAAACAAGTGGTAGTCGGAAGGGGTACAATCTGGTGAATAAGTATGGGGTAGCATTTCCCAGCGAAGTTCTTCTAACGTTTCCTTGACAAGTTTTGTGACGTGAGGCCGAGCGTTGTCATGAAGCAAAATCATTTTATGCTATCTCGTTTCATATTCTGGTCGTTTTTCGTACTCGGCTCAAACGGATAATTTCACCTCGGTAGAGATGCCCTGTGACTGTTTGACCAGATTTCAACAGCTCATGGTATACCTTTCTGATCCCACCAAATACAGAGCATTGCCTTTTTTCCGTGGATATTCCGCTGTCGATGCGTCGATGTTGAGAATTGGTCGGGGTCGCAAATGGTTGGTTCGACGTTTGAGGTTGTCAAAATATATCCATTTTTCATTCCTAGTGATGATACGATGCTCCTTTCTTTGTTGCCTAACAAGCAGAATTTCGCAGATGGTTTTTCGCCTTTCAATGTCTCTTGGCTTCAGTTCATATGGGACCCATTTTCTTTCTTTGTAGACCTTTCCCAAGACTTTTGAACGATCGAAAATGATAGATTGAGCACAATATAATACTTCTGTAAGTTGTTTCTGCGTTTGACATGAGTTTTCATCCACCAATGCCTGCAATTCTTCGTCTTCGAATGCTCTTGGCCGTCCAGAACGCTCTTTGTCCTCCACATTAAACATCAAAATCACCACTTTTAAAGCATCGCAACCATTTTCTGCATGATTTTCTGAATTATCGAAAGAAGCACAATCTCCAAACTTCTTCAGCTGCAATTCTCTCCCATTTGAAACAAAAGATTAACACTTCGCGCAAATGAGGCTTATTTAGCTCAAATTTCGACATTTTCGATGCCGTAACAAACAATGTTATTCACGCGAACATATACCTTTATATACTGAATTTTATTGACAGATGGTACAACTAAAAAATTAAGTTTGGTTTGGATATTAGAGTTACCGACAGTTATAGCTATAGCTACTCGCCGCTAGATGGACGGAACTTTCCGATTTACCTAATATAAATCATAGAATCAAAATTAAATTATATATGTTGTATCAAATATTTTTTTTGAGCGAGATCACGTTCAGTGTTTTTACGCGAGTAAAGAAAATTACTTGAATCAGTGATACTCTTTGTGGATTGATGTTTGAAAAGTGCAATAATTTATGTAATAAAATATAATGCGAATATATGTATATATGTAGAACATAATTTTTCATATGCAAAGAATATTCTATAAAAAGGCTTTGTTTAAATGTGTGTACATTTTCCACATATATAATCTAATAATTTACAATTAAGATATCTTCATAATTTTGTGCTCAATGATGCACATAAGGAAGCAAAAATATTATATAAACATCATTTTCCTTAACTTGTTAATGCAATTGCGGAAACGTACATTAATATTCTTTTAACGTTGTTTTCGTTTTGAGTAGTGTTATATAAGAATGAAAAATAATTTGTTATATATTGAATTGTATTAGAAAAATTGTACTTAATGAATGATAGAATAACAAACAAAGGAAATAACAAGTAAGATATTTAGATAAGAATGTGTATTATAGATTAACTTTAGACTGACGAATAAGTAGGGTATATTTTTTGAGACGAACCCTTCTTATATTAATTATTAACTAAATAGCAAAAACAGAAAGAAAAATAAGGAATTC